CTGCCTGCTGCCCTGCCTGCTGCCCTGCCCTGCCTGCTGCCTGCCTGTGCTGCCTGCTGCCCTGCCTGCTGCCTGCCCTGCCTGCCTGCTGCCTGCTGCCCTGCCTGCTGCCCTGCCCTGCCTGCTGCCTGCCTGTGCTGCCTGCTGCCCTGCCTGCTGCCTGCCCTGCCTGCCTGCTGCCTGCTGCCCTGCCTGCTGCCCTGCCCTGCCTGCTGCCTGCCTGTGCTGCCTGCTGCCCTGCCTGCTGCCTGCCCTGCCTGCCTGCTGCCTGCTGCCCTGCCTGCTGCCCTGCCCTGCCTGCTGCCTGCCTGTGCTGCCTGCTGCCCTGCCTGCTGCCTGCCCTGCCTGCCTGCTGCCTGCTGCCCTGCCTGCTGCCCTGCCCTGCCTGCTGCCTGCCTGTGCTGCCTGCTGCCCTGCCTGCTGCCTGCCCTGCCTGCCTGCTGCCTGCTGCCCTGCCTGCTGCCCTGCCCTGCCTGCTGCCTGCCTGTGCTGCCTGCTGCCCTGCCTGCTGCCTGCCCTGCCTGCCTGCTGCCTGCTGCCCTGCCTGCTGCCCTGCCCTGCCTGCTGCCTGCCTGTGCTGCCTGCTGCCCTGCCTGCTGCCTGCCCTGCCTGCCTGCTGCCTGCTGCCCTGCCTGCTGCCCTGCCCTGCCTGCTGCCTGCCTGTGCTGCCTGCTGCCCTGCCTGCTGCCTGCCCCCCTCCCAGCCTGCTCCCTGCCTGCTGCCTGCCCCGCTCCCTGTCCTGCCTGACTGCCCTGCTCCCTGCCTGCTGCCTGCCTGCTGTCTGCCCTGCCTGCCTACCCTGCCTGCCCTGCTCCCTGCCTGCCTTGTCTGCTCTGCTTCCTGCTTCCTGCCTGCCCAGCTCCCTGTCTGCCCTGCCTTCTGCCTGCCCTGCCTCCTGCCTCTCTTGCCTGTCCTGCTTCTGTTTCCCTGCCTCCTGCTTCCTCTGCCTGCCTCCTTCCCCTACTCACTGTCTCCCCTGTCTCTATATCCCCTGTCGCCACTCCTTGCTGCCCCTGCCAGACCTGCTCCCTGCCTCCTCTGCCGCTTACCTGGTCTGCTCCCTCCCTGCCTCCTTATCCTGGTCCCTGACTCCCCTGGGTACCTCTCCTGCCTGTCCTACCTCAGCGCTCTCTGCCCCCTGTCTCCCTGTCTGTCCTGCCTCTCTTACTTGCCCTGATCCCTGCCTTACCTGCCTGTTCTACTTCCCCTGCCTGCCCTGCTTCCTTTACCTCCCCTTCCTCTTCTGCTTCCCCTGCCTCCCCTGCCTCTCTTCCCTGCCCTGCTTCCTGCTTCCTGCCTCCTATCTACCCTGCCTCTTCTGCCTCCAGTTCTCCTTGCCCAGCTTCTCTGCTTCCTGCCTTCCTGTTTTCTGCCTTCCCTGTCTACTGTACTCCCTGCCCTGCTCCCTTGTCTCCTTTCCTCCCTTGACCCTGTTTCCCCCCACTCCTCACCTTCCTGTCCCTTCTTCTCCCTTATGTCTTCCTTCTCCCTCACCACCCTCAATCCTTCCTGAAAGAGGGCATGGGGCTGGAAAAATCAGCTCAGAAGCCCAGAAGCTGGGCAAGCAGGGGAAAGAGCACAAGTTGGAAAGGAAAGTCCAGATTCAATTCAAGAACAGGGGAGAGGTGACAGGGATAGAGGGGAAAGGCTTAAAACTGGGAGTTAAGGGAAGAAGTAAGGACTCCAGCCAAGTGCCGACAGATAGGAGCTTGCCAAAGAGCAGCAAATACCTGTTTGTTCCTCAGCAAATTGATGCCTGTTTTGACCAGGTTCATTTAGCTCAAAGGGGGATGAGGGATTAAGAGGAGTGGGGAATGTGCCAGATCAGTCAAATGTTCTGCTTTCCCAGTGTGCTTAGTGATGAATAATGTGTGCAGGGAAGAAGTGGGGTGAATTATTCCTGCCATGTGGATACTTTGCTGCAGGAAGTCAAGAATTAAGTTTTCTCTGCGAGCAGTGAGGGTGATCAGAAGGGGCTTGATACAGAAAATAAACAGAAAGCAAATAAAGTCTGGAGAATCCCCATGTGTGTTACTGGCCTGACTTTAATTCTATTTGCAGTGTTTTAATCCTGGGAGGGTGGGAAGGTCATAGGAAAAAGGGAGCTTTCCCTTTTCAAAATACCGATTCCTCAATCTAAACAAGCTCCAGGAATAATGAAGTTAAGGAGCAGATGGCTACTTGTTGTCCATCACTAAACAGTGACTGGATCATATTTGGAAGGAAAAATTAAATTATAGAAAGGCTGCTTTCATGTGCTTTCTGAGTAATCAGATGATAACATGGATTTTCTCCAATACTAAAAGTTAATGCGGTGCCAACATCTAAATGACATATTATGTAACGGTATTATGCCATGCACTGCATAGCAAAGGTAAGGGTTTACTTTTTCATATATATATATATATGATAAGTCATATGACCTTATAGATCTTTCCCTGGTTTGCAGTCTGTATCCCAGCATGAAGTTTACAGGGGCAGCTTGTGTTGTCAGCATAATCACGTCTGATATGTATCTGTTATAAATGCTGCTGATTATTTTAAGAATTCTGTTGACTCATACAGCTCTGAAAAATACTGAGTATTTTCTAAAAATTAGACTCTTGTAAGGCAGATGCAAAACAATTAAAGATATTGCAACCGTTTCCAAAAACCTTCTTACTTTTTAATGTCATTATTTATAACTTAAAATCTAGTGCAGGGACCAGATACTCTTATACTGAGTATCATTGAGTGCTGCTGAATAGTAGTGTAAGTGGTGTGATTGAGTTCAGCAATGGAGGAACTGCAGAATCCACCCCTTAGCACTGGCTCATAATTCCTTAAACTCTATGTGCTTTGAACACAGAGATTGTTTCATAGAAACATGTAACAGCAGCCTCCTCATCTTCCAAAAGAGGACCATGTCAGTTAAAATACAAATGATCAGCCTCATAAAATGATAGAGTATATTTCCTTCAATCTAAGACTGTAAACTAATATAATTGTTAATTTGTGTACAGTTACTGAAGCAATTGTGCTATTGTTTAGCAAACAAGTATTATTTTCTCTCACAGACCGTTGCTGTGATGTCTGGCACATATACAAACGACATATGACAATTGGGTCCTACTCGTGAAAAAAAAAAAAAAAAAAGAAGGAAGCAATATCAGTCTTTGAACAGAAGTTCACCTAGTTTTTTGCAGATGAGTTGTAAGTCCTTTCCCTCTTGATACTAGACTTGCTCTGAGGATTTAATTTGAGAATTTGCAAACAGTTTGGGGGGTTTGTGCTTCTTCTTTTTTTTTTTTTTTGTTTTTTCTTCAATAGGATTTATAGAAATAAAGTCCTTAAGTCTGATAAGTTCCTTCACTGAGAAAACAAACCCACAAGGTAATATCAAATTATAATAAACTTCATTTCTACAGTTTTGGGAGAAGTGTCTGTGTGCAGATCTTTGTGTTTGTGCTCAGACTTCAATAAGGAGAAAAAAACAGGAGAATTTAATGAATTTCTGAATGCAGAAATCCTTTCCTTCCTTCCTTCCTTCCTTCCTTCCTTCCTTCCTTCCTTCCTTCCTTCCTTCCTTCCTTCCTTCCTTCCTTCCTTCTCCCTCCTGACTTTCTGCCTTCCTTCCAGCCCTTACCCTTCCCTTCTTCCCCCACAGGTTTATAGATGCCTTTCTCTGGCATCATGTATAAAGCAGAAATAAGTAAGCCACTAATAGGGCAATAAGACATCACCACTGCATTTCATATTTTTTTAAAAAGAAAATTTTTTAAATGTGGAGCAAAAGAACTGTAAAATTAGATACATTTAATGTTACTAAAGATGTAGGACTAAATATCTTGATATTCTGTTCCTTCTTTTGTATATCTTTGTGCAGATGTTTTAACACAACTTCCACAGTGCATTTAGGGACTTTCAGGCACAAATATTATGTTCCCATGCTATCAGATTTCTGCACATAGATTAATTATCAAACTTGGGGGTCAGAATTCATGTTTTACATACTGCTGATAATTTTATCTGCAAGAAGTTTCTATAATATTGGAAAAGTGTTCTCTTTGTCTAGTAGCACACAGGATGCTTTTTGCATGTTGACAGTTGGTGTAGTTCATGACTGACATGGAAGTCTCTCGGAGCTTGCTGCTTCTTTGACATGCCACAGGACACGCCTCACATTCCCATAGGGATTTGCAGTTCATCTGTGGTTGGTGAATACTTAAAACTTTACAACTATGATTTGAAGAAAGATTGAAGAAATCTCATTATCACAGGTGTTTTGTTTAACTTTTTCATTTGCAAGTTGTTTAAGTTATCCTCCTTGACATGTGGTCCCATTCCTTAATATTCAAGTAGGCAATAAGTTTTGTACATTTCAGGTCAAAAGATAATGAGTCAATTTTAAAATTTTATGTCTATTGGACAATCTAGTCAGACTCTCCTTATACCTGTCAACTTGTAGCAACAGCAGGACAACTGCAGGTCAGTGTTGCAGACGTGCCTGCCCTATGTACTGTGCTGAGAGCTGCAAAGATCAGTTGAGTTGCTGCCGTGTTTTGTGCTGTGCCATGGCTAAATTGACACTGCTGGACAGCTAGATGTGGCCAGAGGGCAACCTGTAACTGACTCAAGCTAATAAGAAGATTGTAATAGGAGAGGAGTAGGAATGTGTGATGTATTGTTTTTACTGAACTGAAACAAATGTTAGGTTTTGTACATGAGCAAGGAGATCACATCCTGGGAAACTGTGAGAAACCATCAAATTCCCCACATGGCTGTTATAGTCACCAACATTCACTGTTTTCCTACTGAAGAGAAGGAACAATTCCCTAGTGAAAATTTGCAGGATAACGAGGACTTGAAGGAGAAAGGCTTGTGATGTTTAAGTTGTTTAGGTTCACTGGGAGAACCCCGTCCCTTAGGGAAGGGCTGCAGGGAAGCAGGAGTTGTTCATAATAATCAAGACTGGTGAGGTCACAGCTGGAGTACTGTACCCATTTCTGGGCTCCGCAGTACAAGAGAGACATTGACATATGGGAGAAAGTCCAATGAAGGATCACAAGGATGATTGAAGGACTGGAGCATCTCTCACATGAGGAAAGACTGAAGGAGGTGGGACTGTGCAGCCTGGAGAAGAGCAGGCTCAGGGGGATCTCATCAGTGTGTACAAATAACTGAAGGGAGGATGCAGAGGACAGAGACAGTCTCTTTTCTGTGGTGCTCAGAGGCAATGGGCACAGGCTGAAACATGGGAGGTTCCCCGTGAACACTGGGAAAGACTTTTCACTGTGAGAGTGACCGAGCACTGGCACAGGTTTACTGGAGAAGCTGTAGAGTGTCCCTCCTTGGAGATATTAAAAAGCTGTCTGGACACAGTCCTGGGAAACCAGTATGAGGTTGGACCAGATGCTCTTTAGAAGCCCTTAGCAATCTCAGCCATTCTGTGATTCTATAATAATCTGAGCAGCAGTGAGGCTATTGGACTTGGTATATGAGATAGACCTACTGGGAACCCCCACAGGGGGGTTACACTTTGTAAAAATACAAAGAAATTGTACACTTTTGGGACCCTGATTGTGCCATTGAAGCCTAAGGGGATTACACTGGAAACATTGCAATCTACCTTTCCATTTCCTAGTGAGCAGCATGGCTTCACATTTTTCCTGTGATGCAGAGCATTATGCATAGGGGAGGAAGATTGCCCAGATGTTAATGTGTAAGCTTGCAACTCAGGAGACATATGGTCTGTTCCCAGCTCTGTAAAATGTGTCCTCCATGATCTCAGGCAAATCACTCAGGGCTGTACTTCCCCCCACTGTCTGTGGAGGATGCCAGAATGTCTCAGCCAAGGACAAGAGAGAGTCAGTTTTTCTCACTACTCTCTTGAAATTAGTTGATTGAACTAGTATATGTCCCTTTCTATATCTGAGCGCTCTGTTTCCTGTGCAGGTTCCTACGAAGGTAGCACAAGGCCACAAAGTGCCATAGCAGCTATGGATTCATCCTCCCCTGCCCTTATGGAGCAATTCCTGCTAAGCAGAACAGAGCTCCAAGATGTTTTCCACAGTTAACATCAAAATATTTTTTAAAATGCAATTTAATGAGATGACACCCACACTCTGAGATGAAATCATTCTAGATTACCATTTTCCCTCCCTCCCTGCCCACTCCCTTCTTTTCTGGCATAATTTTAGAAGCTAATATCTGTATGAATGCTAGGCGTTAGGAATTATATAATGAGACAAATCATAACAGTGATGACTATTAATACTAACTGAGGATCAAACCCTAGTGCCTTCCCCATTTGAAAGCTGTGGCAATGAAACTTCACATGACATACAGCTTTGGACTGAATGGAAAACACACAGTAGACAGAGGCCACCAAAATCTTTCTGGAACTGAAGTGGATGGGGAAGGGCCAAATGAGCATGAGGACAGTGCTTCAAGAGGCAAATGGCGTGGCAGAGACAGCTAAGCAGGCAGGAACAAAATGATCCAGACAAGTGTCATCATCACTGAGAGAAGGTTTTGGCCAATTTTCCAGTGACTGTAGAGCAAATAGGGGTTGAATGCTGATCCAGAAGTTGTCATTGAAGAGAGAACAGAAAAACACATTAAGATCTTTGGATGGAAAGTGCTATATATACTTCCTTAAGCTATTATTTTAATTTCATTTTTGTTAGTAAGTATTGTTATACATTTTATTTATCAACTAATTTTTATTTTTGAATGGCAAAAATATAAGCTCTTTGTCTGAAGACTGTATCCCATTTTCAGTATTTTACCCATCCCAAAGCTACTTTCTGTCCCTTGTCATTCTCTTATTGGGAGTGAAAAAGGAGTAAACAAAAATGACATGTGACACCAAAAGTTTGGTGGAAATTTCCCTTTTTTCCCCCTGTATTAATATGTTGTGTTTCAAACCTCGGTTAATTATTTTTCATCACTTAAAGCAGGGTTTTGTTCCTTTGGAGGGATGATTTATTGTAAGTGTCTGTGAAAAGACATTAAGAGAGCAAATAGTCCTTTGGGAACAAAGAGTCACAACACAGAAAAACAGCTGTTGAGACTAGTTGAGACAAAGAGTCTAGTGTGCCAACAAGCAGCAACAATATTCAAGATAGTGAAAAAAAGGCCAGCGTCTTCATTTGAAAAAAAAAAAAAACCCACCAAAACCCAAAAACAACAAACCAGAACAAAGATGTAAACATCTGAAAAATTGGCAGATGGATCAGAGCTGTACACAATGCCAGAAGAGAAGGAGAAATTGCCATGTGTGGGAGGGGGTGAAAATGGAGAAGGTACTTCTGTTATACCTTTGGGAATGAGAATAAATCAGTACCATTTGAGAAAGCACAATGACAATTAAACTGGGTAGCTATGGAGCATTAAATTTATTGTCAAGGTAAACAGTGGGAGAACCAAATCATTCACTGATGTAAAGTCAATGGTGCTAGAGTGGATTACTAACCTCATGATTTGTGTTATGATTCAGATAGTGACAACATTGTTCATACATATTTTGGATTATTTTGCAATATATAACATTATGCCAATATTTTAGTGCAGCCTGTTCCAGCTGATAAACAGGATACTCTATGCAGACTGTCTGTAACCTAAACTGTAACCTATGGCTATAGCTCAGCTCACTATCAGAAAACTCTAAAATGCATTAAAAAAATGTATCTTTTGTTAGAATCAGTATTTGTAAATTGCTTTTTGGCAACAACATCTGACAGGAGAGAATCTTATCTCCCTTACCTTGGGATCATCTTGGGCATGAAGTGTGCTAATCCATTTAAATGAGGTAAAAACAGTAAGAAAGTTTAATGAAAGTAGGTAGCATAATTTTTGACATTAAAGGCTTGGGGATCCTACAAGAGAATCTGAAGGGCCTGACTATCTCCTTGGTCTAATCCCATTTTCTTTTGAAGCAGACTGCAGTTGACCATTCAAGAATTTGCCTTATTTCCAAAGAAGCACCTTGGTGGAGGTGGGAGTCAGAAAAGGAGAGGAGGAAGGGGCAGTTTTACTCCCATAAACTCACAGAAAATCAACGAACCCATTAGGGTGCCACAGTTAACATGCCACAAGTCCTTGGGCCTGTTAGAACAGGTTCAGAGAAGGGCCACAAAAATGGTCGGAGGGGTGCAACACCTCTCCTATGAAGAAAGGCTGAAAGAATTGGGGTTGTTCAGCCTGGAGACGAGAAGGTTCTGGAGAGACGTTATTGCAACCTTTCAGTACTTAAAGGGGGCTTACGAGAAAGGTGGAAAGAGACTTTTTTTTCTAGAGCCTGTAGTAATAGGACAAGGACTAACAGTTTAAAACTGAAAAAGGATGGGCTTAGATTGGATATATATGATGGGAGCAGTGAGACAACTACAGCAGGTTGCCCAGAGAATTTGTGGATGCTCCATCAGTGGAAGTCAGGCTGGATGGGACTTTGAGCAATGTGATACAGTGAAGGATGTCCCTGCCCATGACAGGGGGTTGGAACAGATACCTTCAAAGGTCCCTTCCAACCCAAACTGTCCTGTGATTCCATAGTTATAACTAGAGAGGGAAGCAACTCCCCCAGTGACAGTGTCAGAGCAAAAATATGCTAATGCCACCATTAATTTGAGATATCAAGCACAAAATATTCACCTGTTTTCCCATGGTATACGTCAATTTTACATCAGTGGAATTCAATTGATACCACTGGAGTTATCCTAATTTGGTCTATTAAAAGCAAGAGCAAAGCAAATAAGTTACTTTATTGTTATATGTGCAGTCCATCTTTAATATGACTCTCATTTCTTGATTTGAATCGAATAACCTACACCGATAGATTATCCCTGAAAACTTCAGGGCTTTTTTTTTTTTTTTTTTTTTTTTTTTTTTCTGAAGTCATTTGCACTCTGTAGTGCCTTGTAAAGGCAGTCAGCCTTCTTTCCTCCCAGCTCTGCCTTCCCAAGTTTTCCCAGGCTGATCAATCACCGGATACTCTGCCCTGCAGGTAGCTCTTCTCCATTCCAGCTCCACAGTGAATACAGGAGGAGGCTGCTTAACAAACTCTCCTTTGTATCACCCACAGACAAGTCTAATGCACATTGCTGTTAAATGAAAAGCTTATCTCCCACCACAAATGTCCTTTAAGCAAATATTCAGAAACTCTCTGTATTCAGATTTCAGGATCTCATCATGGGATTGCAGCTGTGGCATCTAAATTGCAGGTTTTATCAATGACATGCAAACTCACAAAACATGGAACTCGGGCATCCCTTGTGCTGATTGACTTTCAGGTCTGCAATGTAACTTTGAGCAGCCCCTGGATGTAGAAATGCTCTGGGTGCTGCTCTCCCCTTTGTTTGATATGAGAATGCTGAACCCAGGGGAGTAGCTGAGTGAAATGGTTGATTTGCTATAAATAATTCATAACTTTCCAAACAGCTTTCTTCAAATACGGTAAAGTATGTCTTTCACTGAGGGATTCCCTTTTAATTTTTAAAACCTACTTTTCTTTTTCAGAAATTAGAAAAAGAAAAACATCAGTTAAGCAGTGGGGCTTTTTGTTTGCTTGTCTGTTTCTGTGATGGCTGCAAAATTGGATGGATCTTGATCTTTCTTCACACACATTTCATATTGGAACAGACCTTGATCTTATTTCACACAAGTGTAACTACACAGACTTCGATGACAGCCTCTTGCTAATTATGTCACTGAAATGTAAGAGATTCACTGTACCATTTTGCTCATACATAACAGCTTAAGCAGCTTTTCTTCTAAAACTTGTAAAAACAAATTCTAGGTAAAGTACAGAAATGAAAATGAAACTCAGAACTAGGTAGTCAGGAAAGTTACAAGGTACAGAAAAAAAGAATTTGAAATAAAATATATGTCTTTTCAACTAAAACACCAACCCTGACAGATTAGATTTATCAAACACTTTATTCATGGGAAGTTTCCCATAAAGATGTATTAAGTCTCAGTGGGAAATATTTTGAGTGAGGTTTTGCCAAGTAGAAAATACCCCTGATGTTGTTTGAGTTCTGGGGTTTTTAAAATCAGTTTTACAATCAGCTCAGGGCCTAATTCAAAGAAAGCTACAAGCTGCCAGTATGGTGATAAAACCAAATCGAACAGTTGTCATACTTAATATGATAACTGAAAATCTGCATACTTAGAAAGCTGAAATGTAGCTCCTTATAGGGGTGGAAAAAAATTACTATTATGTTTGCTTTTGCCATACTGGACTTGAAGTTATGGGATGCTGGAACTCCTACACTTATGTAAGACAACTTTGCAAAGTGTATTTTAATAGCAAAATGGTACAGCTTAATATCAATAGTCAATCAGATTGCCTTTCTGAAAACTTGAATATATGTGTTCAAGATGCCAGTGACTGACTTATTTTAAATGCATCCATTCTGAAATTATTTCACCAGTATCCTCTTACATATGAAGCACCCAAAGCAATTTTATTGCTATATAAAGTTCAGAAATGCTTTCCTGTAAGCTTTATATATGTATTTAATGTTTTTTTAATATATCTGTTTTTTCTTTTAGTAAGTGATGGAATAAACAACACTTTCCTTTGAATGGATCGTACTACATGTGAACTGTCTGTTACTTTCTGCAAGAAAAGCCTTTCCCTTTCATTTGATAAATATCAACTTGATAGCAAAAAGCTTCTTAATGGCTCACGCTCACAACAGACCATTCATTGAATGGGATCAGCACTTCTACTACTAAAATATCTGAAGTTAAGTACTTGGAAAAGAGGTTTTTGCAGAGATGACCCATTTACAAGCTGGACTTAGTCCAGAGACTATAGAGAAAGCCCGCCTGGAACTGAATGAAAATCCAGACATTTTGCATCAGGATATCCAACAAGTCAGGGACATGATCATCACAAGGCCTGACATTGGATTTTTACGTACAGATGATGCCTTCATCTTGAGATTTCTTCGAGCCAGAAAGTTTCACCAAACTGAGGCCTTCAGACTGCTGGCTCAGTACTTCCAGTACCGCCAATTAAATCTGGATATGTTCAAAAACTTCAAGGCTGATGATCCAGGAATCAAACGGGCTCTGACAGATGGGTTTCCAGGAGTACTGGAAAATCGCGACCACTGTGGCAGGAAGATTCTTCTACTTTTTGCAGCCAACTGGGATCAGAGTAGGTAAATGTAGATAGTGTCCTTATCTTTTTACATACACTCACACTCAACTTGTAATGGAATATTTGTGATCATACTTGAAGCAGCAAGGCCATTTTCAGTATTTTGTACCCATGATTTCATTTCACTAAAACTTTCATCTGATCTGATCACCTCTCATTCTTCAGTCATATCACCATTGAGAGATAAGTGTATATCAGTATGTCAGATAAGTAGTTCGTGCTTTTTTCCATAAATATTTTCAGGTTTCCACCAGATAGTGTCTGTTTGCTGTAAATACTTTGATGCCTATTATATAATTGCTTCAGTAATATCATAGACTAGCCAAACAGGTTGACACCAAATGTCTCAAAACATATGGGGGTTCTCGTAGCTCTTCTGGAGTAGAAGGAACTGACCATATTTATTCTGTCTCCAGACTTCCTAAGAGATAGGTTGGTTTTTTTTGTTGTTGTTGTTTTAACCATTTCAGGAATTACAGCCCATGGTATAAGATTTCCACAATCTGCATTGTAATTTCTACACATTCTGATTAAAGTACGCTTGTTTGATAAGTGGGAGATTCATGCAAAGTGTATTTTCTGGTCAGGTCATTTCTCTATAGAATCATAAGAACAAAGATATCTCCCAACCATTATTATAAAATTATGTTCTTAAGTGTTAATGTGATCAGTCAGCTTTCACTACCTATTTGAAGTGATACAGAGAAGAGGGACTAGTCCAGGAATATCGTGTTGAGATTGCCCTCTTTGTCAGAAGTCATTCCATTCCATTTTCCTTGTCTTCACGATGAGATGGAGAAATGTGGAGAAAAGTTGTAGGATTGCCATGTATTCTGCTGATTTTTGATAAAAATTAGAAGGAAGAACAACATTCAGATTCAGATTTTGAGTGTCATAAATTCTGATGAGTTCCAGGTATGATTTGCTCTTAGCATGGTCTAAAGTTGTCCATGAAAGTGTCTCATCCTTAGGAGTCAATAGACTGGAGCTTTGAATTTATGTTATAGAAATTATTAGAGAACTATATACATATGCCTGCAATTTTTCATGTTAATTGTTTTCTGGGAAAACCTTTCATCTCCATGGGAACACAGAGTTCAGAAGTGTTTCTAATTTCCTTTGTGTGTACAGATCTGGTAAATAATTGTACAGAAAAAGTTACAGAAGTGTAACTTTACATATACAAAATTATTTGGTCGAATCCTGAAGTGAAGCCAGTGATAAAAGTCCTATTGATTACAAAGGGGTCAGCAGTTTATCTATCTCCTCTCTTTTTGAAATGTGAGCTTGTCTTTCTTCCAATCACAAAAGCCGTTCCTTTAGCTTTTGGCCTGTAAAGAAAGATGAATGAAAAGGTATCTTGAATTAATAGAAAGTATCATCTTTAGAGGACGTGGCTCTGCTGGTTGCATTAAGGGATTTAGGTATTATATAGACCCAGCTTTAGGTTTCTGATTCCTCAACAAAATGAACCTTTGCGATTAACCTCATACATCACATCCTGCTCCTGGAAAGCTGAGTGCTGCTGTCTAAGGCTCCTGCAGTGAGATTTTGACAGAACATTGATTCCTGTCAGATTTTGGCTCAGATTTTTAGCAAGTCCTTTAATATGCATCCATGAATAAGTGTGTGTGTGTGTGTGCAAAACCCAAAGTGATTCTGCATTCAAGATACCTTGTTTCTGAAAATGTAATTTTAACCTTCAAAGAAGAAAACCTGAGGCAAATAGGATAAGATATACTTTCCTAAGTCTCCTCCGTGAAATTAAAAATCACTCGCAAATTTTACCTCTGTTCAGTCACTGAGGCTCAACTCCTCTATGGTTTTAAATGACAGGAAGTATCATTTCTGTGGGCTTTTGTAGTGCTCCAAGTACAACAAGGATTTGGGACAGGAATTGGGCTGTAAGTAAATAGAGGGATGACCTTTTCCTTTTTTACTGTCTAAAGGCATCAATAAGAGCAAAAGCTGTTAAGGAACGGGAAATTATGAATGCAATGTCCTATTAAGCAGCAGGGAAGCAGGTTATTGACCAGAAGAAATAGATATTCCTATCCTCAACCCTCAACCCTCAAGCAAACAGGCATTGTGTATATCTTACACACATGTATCTTGGCAACCTTTCTATAGATGTGTCTTCAGTGATAGCAAGATGTTTACAAGCTTACAATTCAGCTGAATGCTAATGCAACCAATTCATATGATACTGTGATGTTGACATGAAGAGCTCAGCCTTCAGCATGCCTTTCCTAACTTTAATCTCATTTGCAGTTGGTTGTGTCTTCTCTTTCTTTATGATTAAATCATAATTTATAAGGGATGATTTATAAAGAATCATTTAAAATCAGCATAGCTATAATCCATAAATTTTATTTTCATTCCAGACATTCTTGCCATTTATACTTCTGGGAGTATTATGGATTTAAGGATCACATGTCAAGGAGAAAGAAGGAGCCTCAAAACTTTTTGGTCTTTAAAATATATTGTTTTTTAAAAGGAAATGTCATTATTCGTGTAATGTGACTGCTTGGACAAATCAGGTCCAAGATGTTTTTAATGGCTTCTCTTATCAAAGATAAAACTTCTGTGTGAGATTTTAGAAACTCTTGTTATTTCATCTTCAAGAATGTAACTGATAGATCTAACATCTCTAGAAAACTAGGTTTCAATTTCCATTATCAATGTTTCCAGCTTCAAATTCCAGTTGCTGGATTGCATTAGTTTAAAGGGAATACAAAAATATGACAGCTTCCCATGTTTGTACCTTTGTGTTGTGGCCGTGTCATCTTTTGACCTACTTTTGAATTCACTGAGGATGCAGCACTGTTAGGGTAAGTTACTGTCAGGCAACAAGGACATAATACATCAGCTACTCTACAGCAGTGGTTCTTGTGTTCGCTTTTAAGCATGGTGAATGTAAAACAGCTAACCCCCTTTTTCTTAAGGAAAAAACAACCTTGTGCTGTCTACAGGGTAAAGAACATACCTGTGGGCAGCCAGCACAACAAAGATGATGTTCTGCAAAGTATTGCGCTAGCTTAATGTCTTGCAATATATTTACACTGCCAAAGCTTAAATATATTGAACTTCTTTACTCTCAGAATTAGGAAGATTTTCCAGGTTGCTAACATTTCATCATTCTTTTCTGGACCTTTCCTATCATTCTAGCATTGTTGCTAATGTGCAGGTGGGTGAACTGAATACAAACTTTCACTAATAAACCATCATGTGGTAACACCATCTCTTCTGTTCAGTAGTTCCTTCTTTTCAGATATAAGATTGTTGCTGTTTTCTTAGCTACTCTATCACATTTTGAGCTCATGTTCAGATCAATTCTGCTTCCAAGTCACTGTTTCCTAAAATACAAACACCACTGGTAAATGTGTCATACATTCTCATCCATAATGTGGGCACAGTCTAGCATGTGATTCACACTCTTCTGCAGAGCTAAACCTGTCCTCCTCATCAGTTAACATTGCATAGGTTTTGTGACATCTGCAGAGTTCACTGTCAAGGATTTTATTTTTGCTTCCACGTTGCTGAAAAATATGATTATTGTTTTGACCAAAACCTCCTTAATGACCAGGAAAAAAGCCACAAGGAATTATTCTTACTGCCAAAGAACTATCTGAGGTCTATCATGGTGCTAGGGTTTCATTCATTTAACATGTACTGCATTGGTTTGGTTTTGCTCTGTTTTTTAGACAGGTTTCTTTGAGATGATGCTATTGCTTTCTCTCTTGGTCCTGCATAGTATATTATGGATGTGTTAGTTAATGTTAATCACATATTTAGTTAATGTTAATCACATATGATACAGAACAGAAAGCTTCTGAGGTATTGAATAAGTGAAAATGAGAGGATGTATAGAAAAGAAAAAAGATCATATCAGTTCCAAACTGAAGGAGAGGAAAAATGTTGTTATATTACTGTACACTAGAGAATCCATGCAGGGAAGAGCCACTGTTCACTTTGATCAGAGCTCAGTCCTCAGAGGTACAGAATAATCCAATTACAAGGTGTGAACTCACCCCAAACCCTCAAAGGCTTCACATATGCCACTGTTTACAGAGTACCTATTTTTTAAATGGAAATCGTAGAGCGATAAAGACAGATAAGGATGACAAACTGATCTTGGCAGGAACTTTTTCTGTTAAATAATTTGCATCATAAAATATCCCAGTTGATAAAACAAGTACATGTGTACATACAAACATAGAGTTTTGATGAGACCCGAACCAGGATTTCACATAAAAACAAATGTGCCATGTGCTGGACTACGAATACTATTTCTCACACTTTTCCATTTCAGCAGTCTCACCAAATCTAAGCCCCCATTCCTCTGATGCACCTCTAGTGAAATTGAAGCTTTAAAATAAGTCAGATAAGAGTTCTTTTTCGGCTGTTGGATTGAAGGAAAGCCTTCACTAACTACTGCAGCTCTTCCTAGGTCTGCTACTGCTTTCTAATATATCCTGCTTGTACACTGGGGAGATGGGGGTTTGGGCGAACAAGTAATTCAGCAGAAGGTGTTCATTAATCTTCCAAGTAAAGATATTTCCTTCAAGATCATTCAGCCAGAGTAAAATTTATTTCTGTGTAGAGAGCTAGCAGAAGGGCTATCTCCAGTCATGTTCCTCTGAGAATAGGGTCTTGGGGTAAGGGGGCAGAAGGTTGCCCATTGTCTTTTGCAGTAAAATGGTAATTAATTTCTGTCTTCATCTCTGGACTTTTGTGTCTTAGAAGCTGTCACATAGCTCCAAAAGTTCTGTAAGTCAGATGGAAAAAACTGCTGCTTTATTTACAACATATATTCCCAAGTCAGCTGCTAGCTATAAATTCTCTTTTATTAACCAAGGAACCTCAAATGCCTGGTACTTACCATTCTGTAGAAAAGTGTATTGAGTTAGACTAAAGGGCAAGGAAATACTCTGACATAATGGTAAACCAACAGCTATAAATATTTTAAAGGATCACAATAGAAAAAAATGATGTCCTTGC